GGCAACGAAATGTATCAGTAGATATTAGTTACAAGAGGAGAAGAAAAATACGATAGTTTCCACTTCACTCGGTGAATAACTACCACTTGATTAAACATAAGATGTGATGCCAATGTTGCGCAAGATTTAAATGTTTTAGCACAACACACCAGACAGAAATTGTTGCGAAATTGGACCTCACAATTGTTGTATTACAGTTTCAAAGAAAATGATGCAACTTTGTTTCGACTTTGAAAGTTTTAGCAGATGATTAACATTGATGTAATATTATTTAATTGAAGTAATACTTCATTGTTTATGACAAATCGACTTATGTCGACAAAACCCATAATGCAAAATTGTTCAGTACCAGACTACTGGTGACTCTCCGACTATTTACTAAATACATGAATAAAAATCTACGCAGCCCGAGATGGCATGGCAAGGGATTAGAGACGGACCTCTGAGTTTGTTTGGCATTTCTTCTCAGCAGTAGTAGTAGTCAGTTAGGAAATGTCGGCCTCGTTCGCTTAATAAAATCGACGTGTAAAAGTGATGCCTTGTAGCCTATTTGCAGAAATAAATTCACTTGTTTCACTTGTATTATTTTTATTTTATTATTTTAAAAAAAAAACGTTGCCCCACACCAGGATTATCTCCTATGTCGTGGGTGCGTTTACAAACATACAAGTTCACATACACAATGACATCCAGACCCGAAACAATAATTTGTGGATCACACAAAGTGTTGTTCCGAAGCCGGCAGCCGGTTGCCCAGCCACCGCACCAACCGTGCATTCAAATTATGCTGTCAGGCAGTCAATGCAAGGCCTATCATTCCCTACCACGGTATGCCACGGCATATCTCCGCGGGAGCCCGTGACGCATTTTTCAATGCCGTGGAAGGAAATCTGTTTTGATTCCACTTCATCAATCAATACATAGTATAAAACAAAGTCGCTTTCGCTGTATGTCCGTATGTATGCTTGAATCTTTAAAACTACGCAACGGATTTTGATGCGGTTTCTATTAATAGATAGAGTGATTCTTAAGGAAGGTTTGTATGTATAATACATGCATATAGCACCCGTGCGAAGCCGAGGCGGGTCGCTAGTCATTTGTAAAGCACAATAATTCATTATTATTATTGTTTATGACTGCCTCGTTGGCCAAGTGGTCGCAAGTCCAACTGCCGGGCAAGGGGACTCGAGTTCGAATCCCGGGTCGGGCAAATTATTAAGTACTGGTTTTTTTAACTTTTAAGTTGTAGCACGAAGTCTGATATAACAATAGGCTCACATTCGATTACATGGTATTCAAAAGATAAATGTTAAAAAGTTGTTACGTTGTACATGTGCACCTCTGCCTACTCCTTCGGAGATAAAAGGCGTGATGTTATGTTACGTAATTTATGATGTATTTCTATATCAGCACGTTTGAATGTCCATTAATAAACATTTTAATTCATGCCGAACTTTACAAATGAATGAACTGTAACTGTAACTATTTCACTGCTGGATTGAACCACACAGAGAGATGAATAATGAGTATTAATCACCATACCAGAGTCCATATTATTACAAAGTTAATGTTTCCCTTTTTCCTATAACATGTCAATGGTATCAAAATTAACTTAAAGTCACATGGTATATGCAAAGTTTACAACCTACACCTTCGCGGACAGGTAAACTGCTAAATCCCTACGACGTGTCTCCAAATTACCTATACGTGGGGAGAATTTATAAATAAATATTATTTATAATAGTCTAATAACCATTTAGGTACATACCACTTAGTGATTAAGTGATCCATACTTACAGACATAGAGTCGTGGTGGCGCGAATATTTAACTCGTCGAGTACCGGTTTTGTAGACACAATTATAGAACAATAGGTTGCGGTCACCGGTGACCGCTTGGTTTTTGACAGTTTAAGACCCGCGCTTCTCATGTATGAGGGTAACTCAAAATCTTCCAACAGCAAGCACCAATGACTTTTCCGAGTTATATTATGTACTTTCTAAGGTTATTTAGACACCACTGACAAACGGTGAAGGAAAACATGGTGAGGAAACCTGGGCTTAAAATTTCTAATTATAAGTTTGAAATCGCCAACCCGCATTGAGCAGACGTAGTGGTTAACCGCTTGAATGCCTGTATATGGGGACACAATAGAAAAATATATTTTGACTCACGTGGATCCACATTTAGACACACGATGGGTTAATGCTCAAACCTTCTCCGTGTCCTTTGGTCAGAAGTGACCTATAGGCTGTTGATGACGATGATGATGATATCATGAGAGCTTTATAAGCTAAAAAGTGAGACTGCTGGGCAAGGGGTCTCGGGTTCGATTCACAGGTCGGTCAAAGTATCACTAAGGTTTTATTTAATTCTCGGTAGTAGCATTAAGTCTGGAAATGTGTCCAATATATGGCAATAGGCTCACCCCCTATTACATGGGACTCATAACATAAATAGTGAAAAGTGAGTGTTACATTGTACAGTGCCATAATGTACACCTCCGCCTACCCCTTCGGAGATAAAAGGTGTGATGTTATGTTATATCATTATATGTATGGATGCAGGTAGATTAGATTTCTATATATATATGTACCTAAGCATAGCAACAAAATATCTTAAAGTTATTCAGGTTACTATAAAACTACAAAACTAGTTCACTTAATGTTAGCCCCGGAGTATTAGGTAAGATTGTTACGGATAACCTTGTGGGTGACCGGGGCTCCGGCTTGAAGCAGGTGTAGGCACGGGTTAGTTTTTAGTCCGAAAGAGTCTGGCACTGTCTCTCGCCTCATCCAAGGCGGCAGAAGCCATTTACTCCTCTCAGAAAAAAAGGTTGGTATTGTAACGATTGCAAACCTCGGAAACCCTATAAAAAATCAAACAACCTAGGCAATGACAATCGTACATAATGAAAAAAAAAACGACACGACCTCATAAACACACCACAAAAAACAACGTAAAAGTCTTAGAAAATATTGAGGTATGAATATACATTAGGTACGTAAAAAATAATTATGTATTCAATTGATTACATTACCATACTGGTTTTTGAAGCGTCATTATCAACATAGGATCAGATCGAAGACGCAATTCATATGCCGTCATTAAAGAAGTATAAATAAAGAATGTATGACATACAGTACTCATTCGATCGCGAGCATTCACCGCGAGCAGTCATCACGAATACAGTGCACAATGACTCCAATTATTGTCTCCGCATTTTCCTTCTACATTCTTCTGTGTGCAGTAATGGCAAAACCCACGGAAATCGCAAGCGATAGTGAACTTAAAAGTGTTGAAGAATATCGTTCAGTTCAGCTTAACAGTAATGATAGTGGTGATTTAAATACAATTTCTGCGTCAGGCAATGTGCCTGTTGCTGGTGTTAAAAGTTCGAGACGGAGACGACACGCAATGAAGGGCTCTGGATGTCCTAGTGATACTGTCAAGGCCTATGGTAGCTGTTTACCATTTGACGTGTAAGTATTTTATAAGTTTTTAACGTGCTATGAATAATGTGTGTGAAATGGAATCTTGCAACTAAATCAAGAAGATATTTTAAACCGATTAAGGTGAATTTGATAAATATTTATAACTGTAGTTTGCAAGACCGCAATGTTTTTTTTTCTAATAAAAAATACATATGTATTTTCTTTATCGATTATTACGATTGGAATTATTCAATTTTATTAGTTATTACTCACATTCTTAAAGGAAAAAACCACATAAGGAAGTCCGGTTCAAGATAATGAAGATATTATGTTTTAAATGGCGTGTTCATAAATATCTAGTTACGTTGTTAACTCTGTTATGTTATTTTTACAGAGTAATGTTATGAAATATTTCAATAATCATTGTTTTTTAACACAACAACGGTCACATGTGAAATAATAATTATGACTTAGCTAACATCAAGTATGACTGTTTTCAAACAAAATTGGTTGAGATAAAACCAACCCGAAAAATATCAATGGTCATTACCGACCATTGATTCTTCAATAAAACTTAAATTTTCTTTCACTCTACAATTCCAAATTATCAATATGAGAACAGAGTGCGAATGTGTTTGGCACAACGCCATTTTCTTAGTGTTTTTTTACCTATACAATGAAATATTCATGCAGCATACCTCCATGCTAATGGATCAGGTCCTACTCGTTTCTCAAACATACAAAAATACGGTTCAAATAATCAAACTATTCGTGGCATTCTGTCTAGCAAGGGGTGATGTACTTAACCAATGATAAATTTAACATTCTTACTGAATGACTATCTAAACTTTTATAATGCTAAAGGCCGATTTATCAATCATCGGTTAATTTTAAGTGTGGGAGAGCCATGCTTCGGCACGAATGGGTCGGCTCGATCGGATACCAGGATCTCACAGAAAACCGACGTGAAACAACGCTTGCGTTGTGTTTCGTCATGTGGCTGAGGTTACCAGAAGCCCAATTACTCCTCCCCCTTCAGTCACCCAATCCCCGAATTTACTACAATCCTCAAATTCTCAATTCTCAAAAGGCCGGTAGCGGACTTGTAACGCCTCTGGTGTTTCAGGTGTTCATGGGCGGCGCCGATTGCTTACCATCAGGTGATCCGTCTGCTCGTTTACCGGCTTATGCCATAAAAAAAATATAATTGTTTTCCATAAAAAATGTTAATAATAGAATAAATTTGACATTATTTTGAAATTTTGGTATGGAAGAATTGTCAAAATATTCAAAGTAATTCTTCTGATAAAATTTTACTGAGAATTGAAAAATCGGCCCTAATAGTAGCTAATAGGTACATTGAAATAAAGCTGAAGCCCTAACCTAAACCATATTATGACACAATTAAAGTATAAATTGAACTGGAACAAAAGAGCTACATTTTACCTACTAAATGTATTAATTTTTATGTTTTCATCTTTACAGATATGAACAGATTCTACCAGATATTATGGATCGGTAATTTCTAAGAACCCGACGATGGTCTCAGTATGGAAATCTAGACTTTTCTGTGAACAACAATTTGGAAATACTCAAATTCATAATCGACAATGGTTATTCATTTATTTATTACAATTCTATGCTGCTTACACCAAACAACATTATAAATTAGTTAGTATTTATACAGCTATGTTTTTATGATAACTATCGTGAGACATAATAAATTAACTAAAATCGCGGGTTACTCACGTGAATAGACTGAGAAAAGCTCTACTAGTTTCGACCCACAGAGGGGTTCTTCCTCATGAGCAGCACGCGCGGTCGCGGCAATGTCATGCAGCCTACTACTACACTACTACTACTACAGCCAGGAGGCTGCTTATGAGGAAGAACCCCGAAGAAGAAAGGAATAAAGGTATTGTAACGACCGCTTTCTGTGTTTGTCGACTACAGATTTTAACCTATGTCATGCAGCCATTGAAATGTAGTTATATAATAGAAAAAACAAAAATAAACATTTCTTGGATATGTACTTAATTGATAAATTGAATTAATATCACATGATAATAACTCGTCATCAGAGGCCTGGTCTGTTCCTCGGTGAGAGGTTAACGTTAGTCTTCGGGAAACGTTCCTCGGTGACATTGTATGGACCAATTTTTTAATGTTAATATAGTTGTAAATAGTTAATTTTATGTTTAAATTATACATTTCTTAAGGCATACTAATTCAGTTATTATGTTTTTGGATTATTCACGTAGCTGTTTGACGAGGAACTCGACTAGTTTTAAGCCATGCTAGAGGCTCATGATTCATGAGCAGCATTCCGCGACACATGACGCGGAGACTATAGCGCTTGTTCTGGTAGCAATCATAATAATGTAGTAAGTACATTATTATGATTGCCTTTATTTATTTTCATACTTAATTTATATTTTATTAAATATTTAAAAATATAAAAAGCAGTAGCCCACCAGTAACGGGAGAAATCCAAGCTACCGGTGGTCAGGGCTCCAAAGAAAGGAATTTCCGGACAATACGCGCCGTGTCCAGAAGTACTGCTTTCTACATTTTTATTATGATTATTTATTATAGTTTGATAGTTTTAGATGTAAATATTAATTAATATAGTTAGTTCTATATGCTACACTGACTAGTCGAAATATGATTGTAAGGTTGCCATATTATACCTCTATTTAAATACTAACTTATTGTAATAGGGTTGATGTCTAATTTTTATTTTAATATCCGTCTTGTACATTATTTTAAATCATTAGACACGTATTTTTTATTTTCTTACAGAAACGAATACTATCGACGATATATTGATTTGAAATGTTGCATGACGTCACTTCTATGTATATTTTATACGTAGAAATGACGTTATGACCCCACTCCTAAACTTTGATTCGTTTTATCCAAGTATTGTTTTATTATACGACAGAATAAAAAAATACGTGTCTAATATTTTTTAATTACCTAACTTACGGACTAATTTATTTTTAATTTTCATACCCTGTCATCATCCCAATTCTACATTGTAATAGTATTTAAACCTTTGTTTTAAAGAAACATGCAAATATGTCCCTGTTAAGGTAGGTAGATAGATAAGATACGTTTAGTTGGTGGTTTTCATCAACCTTTAAGTGACACCTAACAGTACAATTAGGGGGTTAGTTTAGGTGCTACATCATGTTAAGACAATTTTAGTTAAGAGATGGCTTTAAGGGCGGTTGTTCATAATTGCCTTTAGGCTATTATTATTAACGGTGAAACATGGTTGTTATATTACATGTATAGATATATTTCAAGTCTCTGCTTACCCATTCGCGGATTGTAAAGATATGTTTTTATGTTAACATACCTTTTGTTTGCCCACCAGATGGTGCCACAAAAAATTGCTAAAGCTTAACTCTTTCAGTCTTAGTGGTCACTGTAACTGACCACCTTTTCTTAGAAATTCAATTTTTGAAGTATGCTTCAAATTACTTTGCATTGGTTTTTAAGCATTTCTGTATAATTGAATAAAATATGTTCGTAACCAGTTAAAAGTGTGACTGAAAGAGTTAAACAAATTACAAACAGACCTCAAGCCATATTGACACCATCTCACAGGCAAACAAGACAGTAGTCCTCTTTGTGTTGACTATTAAATTATGTATTAAATAATAGGGTAGTTTCCTTAATTTTATTTTTATGTCCGTCTGGTGGATTAATTTAAAACATTAGACACGTATTTTTTCTTTTCTCACAAAATTAAATACTTTCGACGATATATTAATTTGAAATATTGTGTGACGTCACAGCGTGCTACATTTTTACAGCACTTGTGACGTAACGACCTGCCACTCCTAAACTTAACGACATTTAATCTAAGTATTGTAACTTTATACGTGAAAATAAAAAATACGTGTCTAATATTTTTTAATTATCTAACTTATGGACTAATTAGATTTTTAATTTCCATACCCTGGCAACCACCCTATTATGTGACTTCAGATATAAATGTCCACCAACAATGTACTACAACTTTAGTTTAATGTGCAATTTCCAAGATATCTCAATATAAACTTTTTTACAAAGAATTTCGTATTTATTATAGATCCTTAACTTCTTCCAGCAGTTCGACCCGCGGTCTCGTGGAATATGCAGCCTATGTATTATTTCAGATCATAATCTACCCTGTTCCAAATTCCATCTGGATCCCTTCATCCGTTTTGATATGATTGAGTAATATACACACTAATTATCGCATTTATAATATTAGTATCATAGTAAAAAAAATAAGGTGTAAAACCATGGTAATAACAGTCTTTGTATAGACCACCTTATAATTACCTATATTAAGATAAAGATATAGTTGATATTCTTAATTAGTTTTTTTTTTCTTTGGCAACCGAGTCTCCAAAACGGTGTTGTCGATTATACTGCCAGTGGCCAGTGGTGACGGCAGAATTAATGAAATGTCGAAATTAACTTTGTGATAGTTTTTAGTTGTTAGTAGCTGAAAGGACAAAACAATAGGGTAGATGCCTAATTTTTATTTTAATGTCTGTTTTGTAGATTATTTTAAATCATTAGACACGTATTTTTTATTTTCTTACAGAAACGAATACTTTCGACTATATATTGATTTGAAATGTCGCGTGACGTCACTTGTACATTTTATATGTAGAAATGACGTTTTAGCCCCCACTCCTAAACTTTGATTCGTTTTATTTAAGTATTATTAATTTACGACAAAATAAAAAAATAATTGTCTAATAGATATTTAATCATTACCTAACTGACGGAATAATTAGATTTTTAATTTTCATACCCCGTCATCATACCAATTGAGTTAGTAAACACAAACATTATCAACTATTTTATTATATATATATACAGTAGTTACCTAGTGTAAAAAATAGCTGGGGGACATACACAATACAGACAGATATTAATATATGTACATCCTTGAACACCGTCATATTTTGATCTCACTTTCATTCATAAATTTACATAAATAATGAATTAATTTTTGGGCAAAGTGAGTTAAAATGAGGTGGAAAGTGATTGGGAACAGGTTTTGGATACTAGGGGAATTTTTTATAGAGGTCAACATAGTTGATATTCCTAGTTAGCATGACTGCGTCACGACTGGTAAGTACCTGCGTCAGGCGGTAAGTGATGACGCTGTAGCATCTCCCAGGCCACTCCTCAAAGACTTTACCGCTGCAATCACTGCGAAGCCCAGACAAGTCAGCTCGGGCCCCAAGGTACAAAGAGGTGTCACGAGTCACGCGTGTCCATTTTTTAAAAAAAAAAAATAGAGGCGCCTATGAGGTGCTTGCCAAGGGCGCTCTATAGGTTTAATACGTCTTTGGCGTCAACATAGACCAGCACAGTATCAAATTAAAGAGGTCATAAGTTTGTTATCAGTGTTTCGGAGCTGAGACAATGCGTTATTTGACTCTAGTTTTTTGTGAGGCCGTGGCGTTACTCCGGTTGTATCTGCCCTTTTGTGCTTAGCAATCACTCTTAACATAACATCACGCCTTTTATCCTCAAAGGGGTGGCAGACGTGCACATTATGCCACTGTACAATGTAACACCCACTTTTCATGAGCTTGGGATGAGCCTATTGCCATATACCGGAGATTTTTTAAAACCCAGTAAATCTTTGTCCGATTCGGGAATCGAACCCAAGACCCCTTGCCCGGCAGTCGCACTTGCGAGGAAGTCCTACAATCACTCTTAAATAGTGTAAATTTGAACGAGGTGGAGATAGAAACAATTAAACTAGAAATGCTAGTTAAACCTAATAATTTATTTTTGAAACATAATAAAATCCAATCGTTAAAATATAATACTTATAAAGACAAAATAAATAGGCTTAGAATTATCAATAAGTTATTAAATTACTTAAACTAATTACTTATTACTTACTTAATAAATAAGTTTGCAAATATTGCAAATACATGTTTACGAGACACAAATTAAGATAATTTAATTTGTGTGATCTCATACAGTAATTTAATTAACACTTGTCTGATAGACAAGAGATTCGAAACTAATAATTTTCTAGAATATAATAATAATAATAATCGAAACAATATATCACAGAATTTTAAACTTTTTTCGAAACCTTTACAAGATCTAAGAATATCTAAAATATAATGAGAATTTTACAAAAATACCTCTACAAAAGCTAACCAATAACCTACTTTCTAACAATAAGACTACTTATTTTAAAGCAGCAAGCGAGCATATTGTTTTGTCCTTTTCCACCACTCCTGGTTAGAAAAGGACAGTCCCCGAGATTTCTATTGTAATAAGCATCAATGCATTGACACACCATTCTCGTTACAATCAGTTCATGCGTTCCCGACTTGTCCTAGTATCAATAGAGACGGCTTTACGAAACTGAATCCATCATGTATAGCACACTGTTACAAAGAAAATACACCAATCGGGGCTACCAATTTCTTGCCAATCTAGCATGAGGCTCAATCACTATAGTCCTCGAACATTGAATATACTTTATTGGAAAATACTTTATTGGACAAGTGACCTCTTGCTACAATAGCGATACAGACAGTGAATTCATTTGCGGTAGCCCTTATTTGAATGATTTTTTGCACTCAGTAGGTGGCGCTTGTGAAGCATTTGATCCTTTTCGACATTACGTATCGACTTTAGTTGATCAATTTAACAACTTTTTTAAGTTTTATTGGCATTTATTAGACAAGGATCTTAGTTATCATTAGT